CAATGATCAACTCAGGTCTCGAGTTAAAACTTACCTGAGTGCAAGAAGTTGCCCTTCCACAATAGGACAGGTACGAATAATGTATGTCATGTAGTGAAATGGGACAGAGGTCCCTAATGAAAGGGCTGCCTCAAACCCTAGTCCACAATTTCCACTTTGAATTCCTGGAAAGACCTCAGTTAATACCTTTCGTTAGAGCAAAAGTATCTTTGTGCTTCTACGATGATTTATTAACATCTCCCAAGTCCTAGACAAGCCTGGTTGCTTGTGTTTCTCTTTTCGTTATATTGGCTTTGTGTTGTTTGTTCCTCTTGTTGTTTTGTTTTGTTCTATGGTGGTCAGGGTATTGGGCAGTTAAGCCAAAAATTGCAATAGTTGAGTTGTAACTTCATCGTACGTAGGCCTCTCACACTATGCGCAAAGAACGGCTGGATGGTGAAAGATGGCTTTGCTCTCCTTTCTTACTCCTCCCTTGCCTAGTCCCTAGACCTCATTTTTCCTCGCGGCCAAAGCGTTTCGGGTCACGTGGTCCATGCGAAAATGTGAGGGCGTTTCCCGCCCATTCTCCTCGGATACGTCACTGAAACGAATTGACCGAGAGGGACTGGGAAAACGCCGTAGAGGGACTAGGCAAACTCCTCCCATAAAGCTTCGCGCTTCTCTTATTTCCAGTCATTCACCTTGTGTCGCGCGAGTATCGAAGAGCTTGCAGAGGAAGTTGTTAGTGCTTTATTGTAAGGTACTCAGTCTGTATTCATTACGCTTGGTTTCTAACCCAAGGTAATCATGGGACTCACCTGCAACCCTCCCAAGCCTGGCGATGAATCATATGAAAAGTTTTCAAAGGTATGCTCCTAACTGTAACTTACCCAGAGAAACTCACGCGCCTCGCGTGATCATAATCAGTGCTACTTTATCGCTCGTGTAATTTTTTAAGGGGGCTCTGTCACGGCTGACTAGTTTATATGGTTGATAATGGCAATAACGAGTCATTATTCGCTATGGAACTTGAGAACTTAGTACTTAGTTGTGAAGACAAAATTAATAGCCTTGTATTATTCTTTCATTCAGCTTGTCTCTAGTGCTCAGGCTGTAACTCGTTCCAGGTTTTAACGAAAATGTAACAATTTGAACCGTAGCTTTTCACGATACAGATAAAAGCAATGAATAATACAATACTTAGTCAGGTGACGCCTCTAATGCCTGCCTGTCTGCCATGGGATAGCCGATTTAACAAATAAAGCTTGTTCCTCTTACCCTGCGTACCAGCGGTTTTTCTCGCGGGTGGTGGGATCCTTCTGCCGCGGGCCGAAGCCACGAGTGGCGATAACGATTTGAAAAACCGGAGGCTGTGCATGAAAAGTCTCTGGCACTCAGGATAGGTTTTCTTTGATTCTTTTGCCCAAACAAAACGTGAGATTCAAGTCTTACGCAAGTAAAGTTTACCAAGTGCTGAAGTCGCTAAGGAACTAGGTCGAGTAAACAAAAATTTCTTTTTTTTTTTCGGAACATTCGGCAATCTTCTTATAAATGTATAGAAAATGATTTTTAATTGCGACGCACTAGGGAACTTCTATAGAGGCGATTACCTCCAGTATTCCCATATCTTGCCTAATGCATCATTTTGTGTTTTATCCGTATTACAGGAAGTAACATNCAGCTTGTCTCTAGTGCTCAGGCTGTAACTCGTTCCAGGTTTTAACGAAAATGTAACAATTTGAACCGTAGCTTTTCACGATACAGATAAAAGCAATGAATAATACAATACTTAGTCAGGTGACGCCTCTAATGCCTGCCTGTCTGCCATGGGATAGCCGATTTAACAAATAAAGCTTGTTCCTCTTACCCTGCGTACCAGCGGTTTTTCTCGCGGGTGGTGGGATCCTTCTGCCGCGGGCCGAAGCCACGAGTGGCGATAACGATTTGAAAAACCGGAGGCTGTGCATGAAAAGTCTCTGGCACTCAGGATAGGTTTTCTTTGATTCTTTTGCCCAAACAAAACGTGAGATTCAAGTCTTACGCAAGTAAAGTTTACCAAGTGCTGAAGTCGCTAAGGAACTAGGTCGAGTAAACAAAAATTTCTTTTTTTTTTTCGGAACATTCGGCAATCTTCTTATAAATGTATAGAAAATGATTTTTAATTGCGACGCACTAGGGAACTTCTATAGAGGCGATTACCTCCAGTATTCCCATATCTTGCCTAATGCATCATTTTGTGTTTTATCCGTATTACAGGAAGTAACATCCATCAAGGATTCTTACAGGAAGAAAGCAAAGATGACAACGGAGGTTCTTAACTTAATGGAAAATGTTAAGTGTAACGAGGTGGCAGGTGCAATGTATGCGTTTCCAAGGATAACACTTCCAAAGAAAGCTATCGAGGCAGCCAAGGTATCGTATCGTGTTTCCGGCCTTGATTTCTAGAGCAGTACTGCAGAATACTGTCAGTAATGGATATCCTAGGTGTACGGTAATGCGAATTCCGGATCCCGGGAATTTTTTTCTTGTAGACTGATCCGGAATCAGTTCAGGGGTTAGAAATTGGGAATTCAGACCACGTTGTTCATAAGATGGATAGCTCTATCCACCGGATAAATTCACTGTCCCGTGGATAGGTTTGAGCGAAACCAATTGCACTATCCACTGGATAGCGTTATCCAGCTTTTGAACAGCTGGGGCCTGCTCTACATATAATAAAGCCCGAAATCTTGCTAACGATTGGAATCTGGAATCCACGTTTCACGGACAAGGAATACTGGATCCAGTACCTGCCATCCGGGATCTACAGCATAAAATCCGGAATCCACAACGTGCGATCCACAAGCCAATATTCTTGTGGATGCCCCTTATATTAGAAGAATGCCAACCCGTTTCCCGCCGTGTCAGTTTTCGTAAAAAGCGTTCTTCGGTTAGAAAAAGTGAAAAGGACGCTATAGGCTCCCATCTTATTCAGGCTGCTGATAATGTCAGGCGAAAATTAAAATTTCACTTTCTCAACTTTCCATATTGCATTGCTAAATTCCAGATGTCGTATCGATCTAGTAACTGCTCCCAGTAAAGACTTCATCGAGGGATTCTTTGAAATACAGATATTTTTCTCAGAAGGAAAGTATGTATGTGGTCTGTTTGGTGAGCGAAGTGAAAGGATTATGGGTTTGAGTTTCCTGAGTTGTTTGCATTGTCATTGTTATTTAGGCCAAGGAAATGCCACCAGACGAGTTTTACTGCTGGCAGGCGCTGGAAAAAACTGGAATTTACATGATTCCTGGCCACGTTTTTGATATGAAAGGCAGCGGTAACAACTTTTACTACAGGTAAGATTTAAATTAACAAGGGCCATCAACTTCAGGTTGGAATTTTGATGATTCTAAAAACCTCTCTGTGGTATCATTTGCGCCCTTGTGTCACAAGGTTTTCTCAGGCTTGTCTAATATATTTAGATTGATTAGATTGACTGCACCTTTAAATTTGAAAAGACCTCTCTTTCCCCCCAACCCCGAAAAATTCTGCCCTTGTACCACAGGAATACCAAATTAGGTTGCGTTCTGACGAACGCAATAAGGGTATACACAGATCGGCCTATAGCCGGGGTGATGTTGGCTTAGTGGAGGGCCTGCAACTGGAATAAAGTTGTTTACAAATAGAAAGGCTCACAACCGGGATTATACGGTATGGACCAGAGAATAAACTTACGTGGGAGGGGCGTCCTAAAAGCGACTTGTCCGTAAAAGCGACGTTCTGCCAGCGTGTGAAAGTCTGATTGAATTGGACCAAGTTTCATCTCCACATTATGGGTTAAAATAATCCAAAACGTTTTGATTTTTCAGACTCACTATCCATACGAAGGAAATAACTAAAAACTGTTTCATGTTTTAATCTTTCTTGGTAGGATCACTATTCTTCCTTCTGAAGAGACGTTCGCTCCAATGTTTGAGCGACTAAGAACCTTTCACCAAGAATTCACGGCGCAGTTTAAGGACACGAACTGACAAGATGGATTTACTGGATTTAGTTTCCAGTGATGACAATATTCAATCCAGACTATTTGATATGTCTCCATCCTCATTTATTAGGGGAAAGTTTTTTGATGTAAAATGCATGTTTGAAGAAGCAAAACTCTTGTTTACAAATTTCTATTTCTCGAGAAAGGCTGACTCTTCATTCATCTATGATTTTCAAAGTTTTTCAATTGACTTCCCTTCGCAGATTTGGCTATATGTTATCTCTCAAAAAAAAGACCCGGAAATGTTTAACATAGTGGCAGAAGGAGTCTTGAATGTATCAGGCAAGCTGTACACAAATGTCCTTAACCACACAACGAGGAAAAACAACATTCTTATAATCCTCTCCTAAAATTGGCGTGGAAAAAAAAAGACACTTTTAACAATCTTCTGACTTTTCCCATCTGAAGGACACTGAAGTGTGCTTTTCCCATTTCAGCGTTTTTCCGGCCCATTCCTTGTGATATTCCAAACACAGATAAGAACGTAAAGAAATCCTGTTTATATAAATAGCAACTTTATTGAAGTCTTTGAAAATGCTGATTTTACTAACAGAGGTATTTTACATTCAAAACAAGTCGCATTATTAAAGTAGATATCGCGCTGTGAAATAACAAATTAAGAACTAAACAACTTCTGCGCTTAAAGTACATAATGGATATATTTCATGTTTCGCGACCACAATCATAACGACTAACTCTAAATAAGGAAATGTAAATGATATCTTTTCATTTTGGAAGCATACTAAACGTAACGAAAAGATAAAGGAGACTACTAACCGGCTCTATATTTAGTTGTAGTATTTGACGAAAAACTGTGGTTCAACTTATCAATGGTTTAGATTTTGTTTTCCTTTGTGTTGCGGTATGGTTATGTACGATTGAGAATCAGAGTTTAAAACAAAGGAAAAGCGCATTTGAACCAAGGAAAAAATTGCACCACAACATTTATTTACAGCCTACTATTTTTTTTCAACAATTGTTTTTTTTTTTTTTTTTTTTTTTTTTTT